CCCCCCCCCCCCCCCCCACCCTGATATGCATTGACCCACACAATAAAATGTTTCACCTCCTGTGTGCTTATCAATGATGGTCCTTCAAGCTCTATCATTAAGGGGATGCAGATAATATAAAAACAGCACTCCCATAAAGTGAAAAACAACTTTCAGTGTGCTGGTTAAGTGATCAAGCTCAAAACAAACCAAGGTTAGGCTGTGGGGAAGCAAAAGAATCATTAGAATTACATTATTTTTCACTGTAGCCTTGAAATATTTTGTCGCTTGACCACTTAACCAGAGTATTTCGCTATTCTATGCATTCTATTCAGAAGCAATTCTCTCTTTTTTTGAAGGTCATACGATACCAGACCCTCTTGTCTCTGATGCTTTCTAGTCAGACTAAGGATGCTGTAACAAGTGCAGCAATGGAGAAGTTGAAAGCTCATGGATGCACAGTAGAAAACATCCTGGCAACACCTGACGAAAAAATTGGAGAACTGATTTTCCCCGTGGGTTTCTGGAAAGTATGTATTGGAGATTGAATGTAACTTTTAAATTTAGTTAAGGAAAGGAAAATTATAGAGAAAGTCAAAAAAACCTAATTCACAAGGAATTGCCCTTGTCTTTCACCTTTGAAGTCTTTGGTTGGATTCCTGGACTTGACATTCGATGTGAGTAAAGTTTGTTTAGTCTCACCTTGATTTGAGATTTTTTTTTCATTTTTAATTTCCCTTCTACCACAAAATTTATGTAACACACTAAAGTCTAATCCAATCTGTGAGTTACTGGTTCCCTGACTTAGATTGGTTCAGAGATTAGGGACTGGTCATAAAATAAAGGGGGGTGGACTGCAGGGCTCGAAATAGCAGCAGCCTGCCAATGGTCAAATGACAGGACCAATTCCAGGTCTGGCAGGCAAAAATAAGGATGCACTGCCAAATTAGTAATAAAATGGCATGCAAAATTTACTGGAATGACCTCCTTTTACCATGCTCCTTTACTATGGCAGGCTAAAAACGTTTTCCATTTCGAGCCTTGGGACTGGATTTGAAGGAGCTCTTTTTTTTGCTTGCCAAGTGTAAAACAATGTCCAAAATATGATGGCCTCCCTAAGTGACCCACCCACTCTTTTTAATCCACCCCCCCCCCCACCCCCTCCTCTACCTCCTCCACCCTTACTTTATGACTAGTCTGTTATTTAAGGCTAGTTAATGTGCCCTTACTAAAATCAACCTGGCAGAGATTGTTACAGGGTTTTTTGATTGGCCATGCTGTGCCTTGACCAGAGTTTGTTCCATGGTTCAATAAAAGAAAAGTGAGTGATGAAAATGATTGAATTATTCACTATTTAATATTCCAATATTTTGTACTAACCAAATTTCAGAAAAAAATTGGTTACATCAAGAAAGCCACCAAGATATGCCAAGAACAGTACAACAGCGATATCCCCTCTTCAATCAAGGGGTTGGTTTCTTTACCTGGAGTTGGTCCTAAAATGGCTTATATTTGTATGAATGTTGCATGGGAGAAGTTAACTGGAATCGGAGTTGATACTCATGTTCATAGGATATGTAATAGGCTTGGATGGGTGAAGAAGCCTACAAAATTACCTGAGGAAACTAGATTAGCTGTAGAGGAATGGCTGCCAAGGTATGAAATTATATGTACACCTATATATTTAAAGTGCTACTCTGACAAAAATCGCTCAAACTTGGATTCAGCTGAAACTGAATGGGTAGCATGGGTGGCGTTCGCGGCTAACGCGTCGTCTTTCACCGCTGTGAGTCCAACGGGTCGGGTCGCTGCTTCGAGCCCTGCGGTCGCAACATGTGAATTGAGTTTGTTTGATGTGTTGTTCTCTCCTATGCTACAAGGGTTTTCTCCGGGTTCTCCGGTTTCCTCCCTCCGTAAAAATCAACATGTGAGTTGAGCGTTGTGTGCATAGAACATTTAATGTAGTGGTAGTGCGTGTGAGTGAGAAGTGTCCCCAATTTGTGCAAAAGTGCTAGAACGACTAGGCACTTAAATAAAAGTGATTTTTTAAATTTATTTACTTCCTAAGAATACTCTTTAAAGGTCCAATAATCACTGTATGAAGTGTGTTCTTGATATTCAGGACGAAAGTATGATATTTTTACGATTATCTTTTGAAGTCTGTGACGTCATATGATCAACATCAAACATTGCTATATATATATTTCTTTGTACATAAATCCTTAATTTATTTTATTCCTATGAAGCTCTAATGTGCTTATTTCACATTACTTGTGACTATAATTTTTATTTTGGGGGTGTTTGGGTATTTCTTTCTAGGCTTTACTACTGATATTTTGATCATAAACTACAAAGAAATGATCCAAAAAATAATCGTAAAAATATCATACTTTTGTCCTGAATATCAAGAACACACTTCATACAGTGATTATTGGACCTTTAAAGAGTATTCTTAGGAAGTTTCAGCTGGATCCAGGTTTGAGCGTTTTTCGTCAGAGTAGTGCTCACTTTAAGGGTTAACAATTATTCACCAACATAAAGGCGGAGTGATGATTGGCAAATATTTACCAAGCAGGGAATGGGAACGTGTTATCAGCCCTCAGCCCAACCCCCTGAAGTACCAGTGGGATCACTCAGATTCATCTGGCCCCTACCCTTCGACCTGTTCGGCATGGGTGGCCCTACAAGGAGTACACGACTTCCTGAGGCATAGCTCTAGGGGGATCATTGGGACATTCAAACTGGCTGATCCTTATCAAGACTAAAAACGTATATAATAAATAAATCTATAATTAATTTATCAAGTGTTAAGTTAAAGATTTAAAAAAAAACTTTTTTATCCTTTGACAGGGAAGAATGGAGTGACCTAAATGTGTTGCTAGTAGGGTTTGGTCAACAGACATGCCAGCCGGTCAAACCAAAGTGTATTACATGTCTAAACTGTAAAATATGTCCAGAAGGAAGAAGACAGACTAAAGGAAAAGCAGTTGGGTGAACTTAAGGATCTAAAACCTTTAAATATACCATTAAGAAATGAAAAAATGTTTTTAGTTGAGAAGATGTAAATATTAGACAGATTCTACACAGAAACCAAAAATAGTTTTTGTCTTAAACTTGCTAGTACTTGAGGACTGCACTGTTATAAAAAGTTTGCTAGAAAACCATATTGACAAGACCTTAAATTAAAATTGTTGAGTGAGTGGATTCAATCATCTTGCTCATAGTTTTATATAATTTTTTAGAACCAAATACAAGTAAGCTAATTGCAGTAACAGGTCATATGAACCACTACTCCACCTTAATCCTTGTTTTTAGTTAAAGCTTTTACAGTTATAATCTTAACTAATCTGAAGCGTTATCTTTTTGTTGTCTTGTGGTTAGAAAATAAATTCTGATTTGCCAAAGAACAATAGAACAGTCCTAGAATATTTCTAGGTGCCTACAATATTTTGATTAGCACTGTAATTGTGACGTCACTTGTATGGCAAAATGATTTCTAAGTCCAAATAAACTAAAAGCAAATCTATAAAGATTTTTCTCTCTTTTCTTGATGTTAGGATTTGTTGACAGTACAAATTTTTCATTAATACAAGTGCAGGAGGTTAAATTTTTGGCTTTCTTTTAGAAGTGTTTTTTGTAGGCAGTTGGACCCAGAAATATGCCACAACTTAAAAACTCTATTGCTGATTGAGATAAACGACACAAGTTATGTTGAGTAGACCAGCTACTTTTAATCAATACCACCTCAAATAAATCCTTAAAGTTTTCCCATGAACATTGACCGTAACAGTAATCAAATCTGCCTGGCTTTGATTTAAGCAATACAATTAATGTTTCTTTTTAGGATACTGATAAAATTGCCCTATTTCACTATGACGTCACATCAAAACAATCTATTGTTTAAACGCAAAGGATCATGGTCATCGGAGGGGGTCAAATTCACCAAAGATTGTTCTAAAACCTGTATCAATCCACAAAGAGAAGTAGAATAGCCAGCAAACTCTCAGAATATTTTTTAGTAAACATTAACACATATTATATCTGAAAACCAGGCCATTTTAGATTAAACTGTTTTGCTAGGAGCAAATTTTGTTGAATTTTCTATTGGATTTGGCGATTCTATCCCCCACATAAACAAGCAATGACGTCATAGTGAAATAGGGCAATTCGAAGGGAGGTTTTTTAACAGACAGCACCGACAGCAGAAAACTTTAAAACCTGTGCAGTCACACACTACAATCATTCTTTGCATATATTATAAATCAGTATGCACCCTTTCGATAATTTCTATATATTAATCAGTAACTGGAAGTAGTCTGTTTCCGAGCAAAAGTTCCCCAATTTCATACCAACTTGTAGCTTCATATAATATGCCATTATTGTCAGTTGTACTTGGAATAACAATACTTGAATCATATTGCACTGAATTACACCTTCCATAACGATTGTACAAGTCTAAAAGGGGAAGTAATTTTATCCCAAAAGCCTTGGCTACTTTTCTCATAGTGTTTGAATTCCCAATGACTATTCCTACATCTGCTTTAAGAAGAGGAAGCAAATCTCCAATTGAGTCTCCAATAAACACCGATAGACCCTCAATCTCTTTTTGCCCTTCAACGAGCCTCATAAATTCAGCCTCTTTGTCAAAGGACGTTGACACATGACTATCGATTTGACCTGTTGATTTATTATCCTCTGTAGGAAAATTATTCCCAGCTATCCTCAGATGTTTTAACTGCCCAAGAACAATCTGGATTAGGTCTTTAGACCAGTTGAACGATATTACATTCAATGGCAGGTTTACTTGTCCAAGTACCTGGACACAACCAGGGCTAAGCTGGACGTTTTTGGCAATTTGTATAATTCCTTCCTTTGAAATTCCAGAAAGAAGTCCACTGGCTTCGACCTTTTTAGTACATTCGGAATCAAAGTTGTGAGTTTCCATGAGAAAAGATTTCAAACCCTCCATACTTAGATTCCCATTTTCTGAATATGGAACGTTTTCAAGGAGCCTTTTGATAGTTTCTTTGTGGCCTTTGAGGTATGTATTTCCCAGCGATTCCCATTCCTTGTCTAGTACTTTTGATTTGGCTTCAGATGCTCTTCTGTATGTTTCAGTGGCCTTATAGTACAGACCGGTCGTGTCTTCAACAGTACATGTGCTGTCAAAATCAAAAGCTAAAAAACGCACTCGCAATCCAGGCCAATCTCTAGGACATGAATTCTTCTGCATCTTCACGCTTGACAATGCTGTAATTTTGTTCATTCTAATGGCTATGATAATTACTGTGCAAAACAAAATTAAAGAAAAACATGAAGATATAGAAATATAGATAAATTATAGTGCTTGGGAACAAGGTTATTCCAGGCGAAAGCCCTTGGAATTAAATTCGGAAAAATTAATTTCCGACCCGCTGGGAATCAAACCCATGACCTTCGGAATTGTACTATTAAAGAAAAACAGATGGGTTTATGATGTCTGCAAACGAATATGCATTATCAAAACATTTAGGTATTAATGTGTTGGAGCATAAACTTTTAAGTTAAAACTTTAAGGTAAGATCTCATAGATATAGACATGTTTTTATTTGGCATTTTGCACATAGTTGTACATCAACTTAGTTCCAAATAAAACAAGAGTATATATGTATGTTTATGTATGTGTGTTTATGAACTCTCTAGTCACTCTCATCCCCCTGCCCCACCCCCTTCCCCTTCCCCAGCCCGGTCTCTCACTCTCAGCCCCGTCCCCCCCAGTTGTATCTACCGTTATTACATAACCATTGAAAAAACCTGTGCCACCGAAACTAAAACCCCTTTATCTCAGTTTCAGATTAATAAATGAAATTCGAATGTCTTTCTTTAGAAATACTGGTGAATGAAGTAAATTCTACCATTTTTGGGTTTACTTGTAAGAAGAATTTTAAGAAATGAGCTCAAGGCACATCTACTATAGTACAGTACAAACACAATCGCGAAACACTTTGAAATATAGGCTTACTTACTAATTATGAAGAACAAATATCTTGTAATTCGTCTTCCTAGTTTCATTTAACCTAAACAGGTTAGACAGGAAAAGACCAAGCTATTTTTGCGAAGATCTATAAAGATCCATTCAAAACATCCATTTGTTTTGACCTCAGAACTGCAGCCGAATGAAATACGAAAAACGTTATTTCCTTCGTGAAGACTCGTCGCATTTCGTGTTTGATTCGTAAGCAAACTTTTCGATTCGTAAATGAGATCGGCGGCTTTCGGATAAACTTCGGAGAGATAGTCGATCCGAAGTACCCGAGGAGCGCCGACGATATTCGGCCCTCTCTCGAGAAGTAACCGAAAGTCTTGTTATTATCGACGGGCTTCCTGTTTCGAGGAATGACATTTTTCAACATTTTCAAAATGGCGACAGGAATTGTAGAAAAGGTCTCTGAAAAAGTCTCCTTTGCTACGAAAGTAAGTAGCTTATAGGCAAAAGGTATTGCTATTTAGTACAAATGGATATAAATTTTACGATTTGTCCTTTATTTTTTTCTCTAGATGCCAATGTTAATGAAGGCAACAGCTGATAACGACAGGCCTACACCTGGATATCTATACCAGGAAATAACTAGTATCCTAAATGACGAGCTTATGTCGTTACTGTTGCTGTAAATCATTTGTAATACACTCATTTATAAATGCCTCTGCCTGAAGTTAGGGTTAATTAGTATTTGGCATAAATATCTTTTAGAACTAGTTAGTCTACGCGTTTATATACCGTAAAATATATCATATATGACCTCATTCACTATCATTTCTACTCGTAGTTGTAAATGTAATATCATATCTTTAACTGGTGTATAGAGATAACCATGGAGTCATACTCAAACTGCCACTTACTTATGGATTTTCTAAGTGACAGACTTAAGAAATCTTCACCTCATATAAAATACAAGGTACATCTATAATAATTCATTGCTTGCTTCCATCCTTCCTTCCTAATTGCTTCCTTCCTTGCTTTCTTCCTTCCTTCCTTCCTTTCTCATATAATAATAGATCAATCTTCATATTGTGACATAATATATAAATGATGAGTCTCCCCAGAGGCTAAGTTTTTTGTAATATATCTTCACACACAACACTCACTACCACTACATTTGATAGTGTCCTTTAGATCCGATGATCAGTACGAGTTTTTAACTTTCAAAGATTGATACTTCGTGTACATAGATTGAAGCTTTGGATTATACAAAAATCACAGAATCCAAGCAGGACCAATTTTAAAATTCATACTTATTCTCGTACTTGTTATTGGATCTAATGAGACTTTGCTCCCTTCCTTCTTTGAACAATCCATCCTTCAGTTATTCCATCCATCCATCCATCCAT